CCGTGCACAGCGGCGGGGCGGTCACGTGTTCGCGGCGCCGCCGCGGCTTTCCCGGCGGTGTGAGGTGGATGTGGGAAAGCGGGAGCGCGTCCTGCTCCAGCGGCAGCCCGGCCCTCTGGCCAACCTCCAGCTGAAGCTCCTCCTTTAGCCCGCTGATGAGTTACCTGGGCGCTGACCCGGTTATTTTCAGCGTTAGTCTCTACCGCAGGAGGAGCCCCTCATGTTGCAGTTGGGCAACCACAGCACGCACAGAATGTGGCCTTGCCCTCCTGCATTCGGGAGGAAGGTTTTTGAACGAGAATAATTTTTTACACGTTCTCCGTCAGGAGATAATTGGGACCCTAAGCATTGAAATGTCATTCACTCTAAATCACAGAGATCTTTCTAAAGTAAAAAAGAGACTCTGAACCATTTTGTTGTGAGAAACCCCAGAAGGGAATGCACCCAAGGACATATTTTTGCTGTTGTTGGCAGACAAAACAGCGGATGTTCCTGGGGCATTGTGAGAGAATGTGGACAAAAAGCAAACACTGGTTGAAGACAAAGATAAGGACCACTGTATCTTGAACGAACTGTCTGAAACCGGGCAGTGAGACCACAACAGGGCCTTCTGGGCTGGAATGAGGCCAAATACGGAAATGAGTTCCGGGACATAATTGAGTGGACACAGAAAGATGATCACCAGGGGGTCTCCAAAGGCCTCCAGAGACCACCAAAGGGGCAGAGGGCACACGCACATGAGGGTGCGATAGATTGTAATTAGTTCCGGGAAACAGAATGAATAGGTCTGATCATTCCTAGAGTTTAAAGCATATGTAGATAATAGAGAATAAAAGCTTTAGCAAACATACCTTAGGGCGTGCACAATGGGTGGAGATATCCCCATGTATCCAGCGCACCGATAAACAATGCCTGCTTCTTAATACTACACTGGTGTTAAGAGGTTTATTCCCAGTTTTCAGTAACAGTTTGAAAATGGACTCTGAACCGTAGACATTTTACTGAGGACAAAGTTTTAGGCAGGCTAGGAACTATAGCAGAAATAGAAGACACAACTGACAAAATCTGAGAAGGCATGGATATGTGTGATTCAGTCCAGGATAAATGAAACAGAAGTCAGCCTCTTTGCATACATGAAAGTAAAGACTGAGGTAGTCTGTTCTCTTTACTGTAGAAAATACTGATTTTTACTGGCTAGAAGTTACACACAATACAAAGTATATACTGACGTATATATACAGAAGCTGCATAGTTTTTGAAACGGATTTTAATGAAAATAATTCAACTATACTAAAATATGATTTATTATGACAGTTGATTATGAAACTAGAAATAAGATAAAATAGGCATGCTGGCACTTCAAGTAGAAGTAGTACAGTTACTCCTTGAGATAGGTGGAAAAGCTGAGGGTGTTGCTCTTTGAGGGTCAGATAAAGTTTACTATTCTTTTTCTTTTTTTTTTCCTTGATTTTGGGAAGATTTTTTTTTCTGTATTTCTGTGGCATTTTTACATTTCCTGAACTGTCTGAAGCATTTAGACTGACTGAGGGCAGGAGAATTGTAAGTGGAACTAGTACAGAAGGCATTTGTATCAGAGATACTCTACTCCCTTTCATTAGTCTTAGCCTAGTTTTCCACTTAATAGCAGGTCAGCCCTGCAGTTGTTTTGGGGAGGATTTTCAGAATACATGACAAAGATTGAAATAAAGGGTTTCAGATTGAGATTTTCAAATAATATGTATGTTAAAACTATTGTTTTATTTAGTAAGAAGATAGTCTTAATCAAAAAATGAGCAAAAATTTTACTTCCATTAAGACTAATAGTGTATTTACAAGTGACATTAAAATGTCAACTTTGCAAGTTAGTTAAATAGCAGTTATTTAAGGGTATCCACCTTTGATTTTTAATTTTTAATCTAACCACATCCTTAATTTTAATCTAACTACTCTCTTCACCGTCTTACTCCTTTGTCCCACAAGTCAAAGTGGGACAGCTGTACAAACTGAGGATTTAAACCTTTTTTTTATTATTTTTGAAGTCTTCTTTTTCTTACAGGCATAAGATCCTCTGAGGAGTTCCAGACTTCTCTCTCCATAGGAATGTAAATGAAATGTGACTCCTCCTTTGGGAAGCGCACTTAAATCAGAAGGGAACAACCTCCCTCATCTTCCTCATTCCATGTACTAATATTTCCATCTGCATTTGAATTACTTTTTTTTTTTTTTCCCTCGACTCCTAAAGGATACTGGCCAAATGCGGCCCCGATAAAGTTATTAAATTTACTTCCTTGTAATCACAGAAAGCCATACCGTGAATATACAGAAACTTATAGGTAAAATCACCACTACAATTCTTAGTTTTTTTGCTTCTGCAACTCCTCTTTCAGTTTGATGGTTAGAAATAGTCTTCCCATTACATGCATAAATGTATTCACGGTCAATTTATACTGTGTTGTCCTTGTGCAAACATAATCCATTAGCTAAATTAGTTTTTTTTTTCTCTCTCCAGTGTTTGCCTTCTAAAATATTGATGGAGACCGGTCATATCACCTGTCAACCTGTCAACCCTCATTATGGAGACTAAACAAGTTCTTCCAACACAGACAGCTCTCTGTTTCCTTGATCATCCTGACAGACCTTTCTTGCATTTCCTCCAGCTTTGCATTTCTCACAGTGATATGTGATCAGACTGTACCCATTATGTCATACAAGGAAGCTGTATGGCACCAGGATTACTGGCAGTTTACCCCTTTCTTTCATATCCTCAAATGACGATTGCCTTCCTCGCAGCTTTACAACATTGTGAACAATTTTTTTAGGATAGCTTTTTAACTTTCAATTAGTTCCATGCAGAAACTTAACACAAATTGTGAAACATATGAAAAATCAAAGGACTGATTTGATTTTCCCTGCTTTATTCAAAAGATTTTACTGTTATCCATTCTGGTACTTGAGATAGTATGTATTTTCCTTGTTTACTGAAGGGAACACTACAGTTTCTAATTTATATTATACTGCCTCAAAACCCAAAGCATCTTTATGTTGGTTAAATAGATGCCTAAAAAGATCCCGGATTAGCCAATTCGTACCTTGTTTAAAATGCTGGATATAAATGCTAAAATGAGTGCTGTAGCTTAGCTATAAATCTCTAAAGTAGAAAGTAGAACCTCAGTTCCAACTAGAAAATAATGGGAGATAATTAGTTAGAAGCCCAAAAGCAGATCTCAGTCTACTACGTTTCCAATCCTACAGATTAATCCTGAAATTATTCTGTGTTCCTGAAACTCAGAATTTAAAGTACTCAAGAGATGAAATTGCATAGATGCTAATTACTGGGCAGGCTTAAATGCAAAAAACATCTCCCCCTATTCTCCACTGGAAGTACGGGCACATTCCAAAGAGGATCTGATGGAGCACATGGTGAAGGCATATTTTATCCAAAACCAGCAGGAGTTGTGAAGTTCAGAGTCTGCTTCACATGCCCACCGTGTGGGAATCACATCTGCAGCTGCTGCGAATGATTCCGTCCTCCCACTCATTAAGCCGTTTCTTTCATGCCTGGGCCTTGCTGCTGGCACGTGCATTTCCTCAGGGAGCTACAGCTTGTTTTAGAAGGAAGAGACAGGAGATAGTAGCGAGATTAAAGCTCCAAAGGGAGTGACCACCAAACATAAGTTTTGTCGTTAGATTCAGTACCAAAAGATACTGTCGTTCTAGATTCTAGAGCAGAGGTGGTAGAGCCTTGGCACATCTAACTAATGGTGAGAGACAATGATGCTCCATTTCATTTGTCTTTGGTAAATTAATCCAAAGATACAGCAAAAATAGATTAGAAATCAGTTCCGAAAACATTTGTAGTGAAAAGAATCTCTAGAGATGTGGAAAGCAAAGTTACTAATTAAAATCAAGTGTTTGTTTTGTAGTAGTAGCATCTCAAGCCCTCAGACAAAGATCAAAGCTCCATTGTACTACACATCATAACCATACATAATAAATAAGATGTCTCCTATGTCACAGATCTTACACAAAGAAATATTACAGATAACACCGTTTTTCTTGCATGTGTGCATCACTTCAAAGACAACCACCACCAACAATCCACCAGAACAGAACAGAAGTCACAGGACAATCATAGGGATGTCTCTGCAATCCCCCACTGAAGTTTCCAGGAGGTGATAGAAGGGGAACATGCTAAAGAATACAAGGAAGGGTACGTTATATATTACAGAACTGAGGATCACAACTGGTTTTCAACTTGATAGGAATATTGCCATTTTTAACCAGGGTAAAAATTAAACGGTGACCTGGAAAAGTGTCTGTAAAATGCCAGATCTGTTCAGCA